TGTTAAAGGGAATTGGCCCATTATTTCTGTTATTCTTTCCATTTATTATGTTGCTGCCGCATTTTTACCATCTATTTATAAAGATAAATGGTAAATCAAGCCTAAGTTTCATGCCTTATGTTTCTACTGTGCTACTAAAAGGCTGAAAATGGTAAGTGCATTATAGCTAAAAATAAATCTGAAAAAAGATGCATATTAGAATGTAACCAAACTAAAAAAACCAGAAAATAGCTGACTAAATGAAGTACTATTTTGAGTATTACTATTAATACTACAATTTCTAAGGAAACAGCACCCAGTGTGTTGAAAATGACAATGGTAATGAAGATTATCTTACAAATGTAACACATCTGTGCAAACCTGTATCTTAAATCCATTTTTTTAGAATAACCAAAAAGTGGGTCACAAGTATGTTATTTGCAAATTTATCATCATAATCCTCCCATGCTATTATAACTATGTTAAATATTAGTCTCTGGACATACTGTAGACAATTATGAACAGAACTACACCTGTGTTGTTACATCTTTACTATGTCAAATCTGAACCATTCATGCATGTACCAAATAATTGAATGACTTCACTTGAATAATTATTCTATTTGCATTTAAGTGCTTTAAAAATGAGTATTACTATTTTATGGTATTCCTGATTGGGTGATTGTTCCCAGACCAGTAGACTTCACTAAGAGTTTTATATCTGAAACCTATATGTCCAGTGGACAAAGTGCTTTAATTAAAAACTGTCCTATAGTACCACTTTTCATAGCAGCAATAGTGCAGTAATTCGGTTTGCATCATTTACTTTATCGGCAGGAATCCTAAGAATTATGGGAAGAATTTTGAATATTTGTTATTTTTTAAAAAATATACAAATACATACATAGGGAGAAAAAGACAGAAAGTAAAAGATAATTTTCTATTCTTGTGCTATGATTTGAATACAGGTTTGTTGCACTTAGGCCCCACTGTAATATGTGGTAAAAGTTAGTCATGTTGCTTATTTCAGTAGTATACTTATAGCCCAAGATGGCTTGGTGGCTTCCAGACATATGGATTTCTACTCTCAGAAGTGATTAGTGCTTGAAAAATTCTGGAAGTTGAAGTCCATGCAATTGGTAGTTGCAAGGTTGAAAAATACTGTTCTAAAGGAATGTCTCTTTATGTCCATGTCTAGACACTGTGATGATCTTCGGAGACTGTCTTTTGAGTGCTTTGGTTTAATCCCATAAGCTAGGTGGTTACAAGGAAGTAATGCCTTGTCGAGTATCACTTCTGGAATGTTCTAGAAAAAAGTTTGAGTGAAGTCTGTGATGTTACCATAAGGAATAGTCATTTAACATAAGGAATAGCTATTTTTCTTTTCCTAAGTATTCTAGATTTTTATCTCAGAAGTAAAGGAACAATATTTCAAAATATATTACATTATTTCTCTCCTGATTATTTGTTGGATTCATATATGTTGATTTAATTAAACAAATGCACATAATCCTATACTTACTTACCTGGAAAATATTCTACACAGTAATTTGTGCACTTTTAAGACTACATTCTCCTACACAGTTATTGCTCCTTTTGGAATAAATACACAGTAAAATGATATAAGGGAATGAAGTTGTAATATTTATCCTCTATTTTGAGCATACATACTGTATCTAAATATGCAATATTTTAAAACAAATTTTAAGGAATGTGTGTAAAGTGAGAAAGAAGTCTGATGCCACAATGTCACTATTCTTAAAGGCATATTCAAATTATATCTGAAAACTACTACAAGATAATATTCTAAAAATATATTGTGCATTTCCATTTGCATATCATCTGTACCTATAGCAAAATTAAAATATTGTTTCAAACTTTGGCTTACTGTGCTAAAATTAAAATAAATCATGTTTTATTCACAGACTGCCAAATAATCTGCATTGTCAATACAACCAGTGTGGGCTTAATAGCAGAGTGGGATTTGAACATGTTTCTGCAGAGGAATCCTATATGCCATTCTATACAGGATCTGGTCTGACTGTAAAATATCTTGGATCAGAAAACAACTTTATAGAACCTTGTTCTTTATATAGTAATTCTAATACATTTTTAGAGAAGCCAATTTGGGTTATAAAGTGTAATTTATAAACAGTATTCCTTATTCTGAGTTTTCTGATGTGCTTTTTTTCTACTATTGTTTGCAATAGATTTCTTTTGGGAAGTGGGGCAAGGAACAAATAAAAAAGATAACAGGATGTTGTGCAGTTGCCATTTCACCTTTTTGACTCTTCATGCAGACTTCCTGGTAGCATATAACTTTTAACATTTTTAACACTGCAGTGCTAATTAGAAAGTACAGTAAAGCCTTTATCCATATAGCATCAGAAAATATTTGTGTAAATAGATATGGCAGCCTTCTCCACCTTGATCTCTGCCACTTGCATTACAAATGAGCAGAGGTATACTCAAACATAGAAAACATCACCAAATTGATTACTGGGAACTGTCCCCAGAATAACATCAACAACAAAAACCATTTATTGAAATCAGTGAGATTTTACCCAAACATACAGTATTCTTTTAGATTTCAGTGCTTTGACATAGGATTCATTTATTAAAATCAAGATAAGGAAAGCACAGAGGGTATGCTGGAATTTTTTAATCAGAAGGAGCCATAAAGGCATCTGTATTTTATTCTGTGTAACCAAATAATGTGTTATGGTGTGCATGTATATGCATTTCTTCCCAGAAACTAATTGTGCTATGTACATGCACATTTCTTGCATGCATCTATTCAAAGTAATAGAACCGAATAGAATACTTTATTTGGCCTAGTGCAGGGGTAGGCAACCTTGGCTCTTTTATGACTCGTGGACTTCAATTCCCAGAATTCCTGAGCCAGCCACGCTGAGGGGAAAGGGTTTCCAAGCTGAGCCATGCTGGCTCAGGAATTCTGGGAGTTGAAGTCCACGAGTCATAAAAGAGCCAAGGTTGCCTACCCCTGGCCTAGTGTGACACGCAAGGAATTTGTCTCCGGCACAGTCGCTCTCAGTGTACACACAAAGCAACAAAATAATCATCATCATAACAATACTAATAAGAGGGGTATTAAAAAAGGCTAATAATGCTACAGCCATACAATATGAGTAAATGTACACAGATATTAGACAGTACTGTGACAATTAGGTGTTCAACAGAGTGATGTCATGCAGGAAGAAACTTTCCGTGTCTAGCTGTTTGGGCACGCAATGCCCTATAGCGGCGTCCTGAGGGGAGGAGTTGAAACAGTTTATGTCCAGGATGTGAGGTCTCTGTAGATATTTTCTCAGCCCTTCTTCTGACTTGCACAACATACAGGTCTTTTATAGAAGCCAGGCTGGTTGCAATTGGTCTTTCTGCAGTCCTAATTATCCATTGGAATCTGTACCTGTCACGTTTGGTTGCTACAGATGTGCATATGTGTTGCTTTTCTGTGTGCATGTGTCTACTCAGACTATATGTGTTCTCCTGTAGATTTATTGATTACAGACCATCAAGTCTGTTTGACTCTTCACAACCACGTAGATAGAGTGTCTGCATAATGATTTGTCCCCACACTGGTGTTTCATGTCTTCCAACAGTACTCACATCCCATCATAACAGAATCTATCCATCTTGCTGCTGGTCTCTTCTCTTTCCTTCCACCTTTCGAGCCTTCTCCAGAAACGTGGGTCTTTGCATAATGTGTCTGAAGTAGGATAATTTAAGCCTGGCCATTTGTGCCTCGAGGGAGAATGCTACCTTGAATATTCCAAAGGTGCTTTTTCAGGAGGCAACTGGACTTTCTTGTTTTTCTTTGAAGACGCCTTCAAAGAAGAACAAGAAAGTCCAGTTGCCTCATTAAAAAGCACCTTTGCAATAACTATGACCTGGATGACCAAGAATCTCCATACACAGCTACCTTGAATAGGACAGATTACAGACCCTCCATTCTAGGTTACTTGGTTAGAGGGAAAAGGAGGGAATAGACCAGTCAGGTGCCTGTAGAGCTGCCCAACTGCCTCTTGGATAGCTAGATAGCTAACCTTTATTGTCATTTTTTACTGTGGGCACACTGACACACATTAAAAATGAAATTCTGTTGCCTGCTCTCAAAGTGTACACATACATAACACACATATAAACATGCTACACACACACACACACACACACCTACACCCTTACATATAAATGGGAATCCATTGGAGGATTCTATTCTGAGTTGTGTTCCTCAGCAGTTCTGAATTGTCTCCAGTCTATTTTTGACTCTTCTTTTGCTGGATTTTCTTCCATGCTCATTTGACGCTGCTGTTTTCAGAGAATTGCCCTGCTCTGAATAAAGGATTGGAATATAGAATTCCAAGTCCTTTTACACAATTCCAGTCCAACTTCCCATTGATTTGGAAATAATAAAAAGAGGAAAGGTGCAGTTCTAGTATTCCAATCGTCTTCGGCTTCGACGTTTTTCGATCCGCATCCGCAAATTAGCGATTCAACGACGACGGAGGAAATAAAAACTTATCTTAGCAACCCTCTAAATCCGGGTCCTGGCTAGCATTAAAAGCAGGTTTACAGAATTCTTTCGCAAATTAACATATGTTAAAACACCGGAAAAAGAAGTAAAACACACTTAAGTTCTACCGCACAAACCTATTAAAATCCAGGAACTAACCAAATGACAAATACATTCGCTAACATTAAGCTTTGCCCTTAATGCAAAGCCCCCGTGTTGCCACTTCTTAGCTATCAAATATATTGCCTATATTTTTTTCTATTTTTTCTCCACTAATCCGCTGTTAAATCTACTCTTCATTTAGCATCCGTGTTCGTGATCCAAGGATATCGACGAAAGAGCCTTCAGTAAAAAGCAGGCGTCTTGTGTCGCGCTAGTTTTTTAGTCAGACTGAACGGTAAAGTTCAGGCACTTTCAGAGACAGACACCAGAAGATGGGACTTTCCGGGAAAGGAAGGACCCTCAAACTGTCAGCCGGAGTGGCACGTGGGTTGGAGAGGTTTTAGGTGTGCGTGGCTGGAGGTTCTGGCTTAGCCTCTGTTCTTTTTCTGGCTGTTTCTCTCCACCTATCCAGGATGAAAGTGGTGGCTTTAATCAGGTAAAATAATTGCTTAGCTCTGGGAAGCTGTCCTGAGCAGAATAATATTTGCATTTCCCGATTTCTAGGAAGTGCTGGACTCTCTTACTATGTGAACAAAGTGATGCAAGTGGCAAATAGCCCAAAATGATTCTTCCCCCCCCCCACTCCGCGGGCAATCAGCAGTGTGAGAGATTTTATGAAATACAAGCTTGGTTTTGCTTCTCTTTTAATGTAAGATAAGGTACACTTCAGAAGTTACGGATATCCAGTCTCGTCAAACTCGGGATGCATTGCAAAGTACGAGTTGTTTGTGTCCTATTCCAGACTTAGGACTTCAGGGTATATGCCTGCAGAGTGACATTTTGGAATCTTAAGATTTTTCTTTTTATGAGTATTCACAGCAGTTCTCTGTTTATCCATCTGTTGATAGCTGTCTGGTATACTACAATAGCACTATTAATCTAAACTGAAATAGACTTTTCAGAATGATAGGTATCTGGGATGGGACTTAAAAGTTATATACAGTACTTAGGTTACATTTGCATGGTGAATGAATTAAAACATAGTACATTGAATTAATCCATTAAAAATATACATCATGGTCTTGTGGAAAACGAAAGAACTCTTACGAATTCCAGAGGGGTTTAGCAGAGAAGTTTATTTGCGCAAGGTTCAGAGCGTATTAGAGATAGGCAATTCTGAACGAGGAGGGCGGGATTAGACTTCAGTTTTTATACTCCCCTCCTTTCAGGAACAAAGGGACTACACATGGTAATACACTGTGATACATTAGGAGCATTTCTCACAGGCATACAATGGAAGGTTTTGCTACATACAAAGTATCCATCTGCAAAGCGCATTTGGTTGCCACATATTACTGACACAGAACTTTCCCAGTGAATTTTCCCAGTGATTATGCATTACCTCATTATTCTAATAATTGTTCATTTTACTACATTAATGGCATATTCAACCTTGAATTAACTGACTGGGATGAGTTTGCATCACATTGCAAGCTAAAACCCGGCTGGCTATTTTGTGGTTCAGTACGTAATACAAATGTACAATTAAAGAACAGAGGGTCTTAACACACATACTTGGCCTAGGAATGCACATACTAAATTATTTTGGTGATAGAAATACTCTTAATTTTACTTTAAACTTTTTCCCACCTTGGAAACATAATTAGATGTAGTTAAACAGCACACAGTTTGAAAATGTTTTGAATTGCTACAAATCATATGGAAGTCTGTTCTCTAAAGGCTGTAGTGAATCATAAGCACAGCTTAATGATGAATTATATAAAAAGGAAAAGGAAAAAAAAATAAGTTCAGAGGCTATTCTTGAGATTAAATAACTCTCATAAGAGACTGCTGAAATAAATAATTTTATGGCACGAGGACTTGCTAGAACTAGATTTTTTTTTTATCATTTCCCATCTCCCCTTGCTTCAGTTTTGATAGAATGGGTCCATCAGTTCGCATTTAAAGAACTGTAGTGTGTGACTTGCACAGATTTATGATCTGAATGGAATGGCCACTTGTAAATATGATTATGATTTACTTTCCAAGTAATTATGACTTTCTTCTCAAATTATTAAATTAATAATGTGTATGTTACTGGGCATATTCTGTCACAAGAACTGGTTTGAGATTTGCTAAAAGTTGATTTGTACATCAATCAACTTAGTATTATTAAGATTTTCACTAGCAATTTTATTTCATATGATTTCTTTACATTTGCTGAATTTCTCCTTTGGTGTATCAATGTCTGGTGTCAAGTTAAGAGCTGTAATCTAAATGACACTTCTTCTAAGTCATGTGTAATTACAAACAACAAATCATTCACAATAAAGGACATCCAGCTCATGAACAATTATTAATTGTTGAATTAAAATTTTTCTAAGGACCATGGCTCTTCCTATGAAGTTTTTGGAAAGACTATAGATTTTTTTTAAAGATGCATAGAATATTATTTCTTGAAGTCAGTCTTCTCTTTAGAAAGTAATGTTTAATTACTCAATTAGTTATGTTCTGAATTATGTTAAACAAAATTAGGAAAAAGTGAAGCTTATTATAATTAGGGTTTCTGAACTGAGCAAAGCTTGGATTGTATTCTTGTCTTGATAAAGTCGCTCCCTTCCTCGGCCCATCCATCCATCCACTTTTGAAAAAGTTCTATGGATTTATCCAGCAAATGGGTTTCAATATGTAGATGGACCAAACAGACTCTTTCCAAGAAGGTCTTAAGAATATCAGGACAAATCTTTTGTTGATAAAGAAAGCCATACAAGAACGGGTGCCAAATCTCCCTTTTTATTGCCTAGCTTTACTCTGAAACTGATTCATGGTGATTAGTAGATACCAGTTTATCTCTGTTTGTAAGCTTGAGAGCTGAAGATGCCTTTTCTTCAAAAATGTGGGTAGGAGAAGTCCAATCTGTGGCCTCTTCCATGCACTCACTGTTGTTCAAGGACACCTGCCCATTGATGTAATGGCATCCACCCATTGCACAAATGGCTTCATATTCTCTGCATCCTACTTCTTCGCAAATATCCTTTTTGGTTTGGGGACTTTTTGAACATGTTTGAACTATATGTAGAAAGCATATAATAAAAGTTAGTAATGGAATATCTCATTATTAAAGCCTGCGGGTACTATCTCAAATGTAAGAAATTATCTGTCTAATGTTCATTTGGATTAATTTACTGTTCTGTTCAGAACTCCCTGAGTCAATGTATGTTTGGTGTATTCTATAAAATTTTGTGAGACAAAAATAATTTAGTTATAATTGTGTAGTTTTTCCCATTTTATTTTTCAAATTTATGTATGCTTACTTTTTTTAAAGGGCGGTCATAACTCTGAAAAGTACTGAGCATTTTTCAAAATGAGGCAATTATGAAGAATCAAACATTCGTGCCTCACAAATACTCTGGAATATAGTGCTTTTTATTCTGTCTGATATCCTTGGTAACTAAATTGTTTCTGATGGAAGTCTTGCACCCACACAACATTAATTTGCATTCTAGTTTCAGCCTGTGAAAAGTCACTGACATTGAAGGTTTAACAATAACTCTTTTAAAGCTTGATGCTTTAGTTGTGGAAATTTTTTCTGGCTGTGCATTTTTTTTAATATTTGCATTCAAGTGGAATGGTGCTGCATTTTTTAATACAGTCAAGATGATGAAATGAATTTCAGTACTTACCTTATCTACTCTTACTTGCTGTGATAAATTATTTATTTTCCTAAATTGGCAACCTGCTATCATATACTGTGCTAGATATAAAATTTGTTTTACAGACTGAGTTAATTATAAAAGCATCCTGATTTGGCCTAAATAGGCATATTAGAAAATCAGAAGTTGGTTTTTTTAAATATTGTCCCATACTACCTTGTGCAAATAGTACTTTCATTTCCCACTTACATGTGAAAACTAATAACATAGATAAGAAACCTTTGGTGACATTAAAGAGAATAAAGCTATTGCTTCAAATATTGCTTGCCTAATTGATTTGAATTTAAGGTATAGGTGACAGAGCTAAAAATATACATAAACATATTTAGTGACTCACCTGAAAAAAAACCCTAAAAACATATTGATGATTTATTTGAAAAGCACTGATATTTTTTAAGTGTAAACAATTTCCCTGCCATTTTGAGGTAAATATAAACATTACTTCAAGAGAGTTCTTATTGAAAAGTTTGTTTAATTATCAGATAACACAAAACTTTTTTTCTTCTAGTGGTGGAAAAGACAGCTGTTACAATATGATGCATTGTGTTGCTGCTGGCCATCAGATTGTTGCCTTAGCCAATTTAAGACCTCCTGAAAATAAAGGTAAAGATCCCACATTTTCTTTTAAGAACCTATGAACTCTTCATCGAGAGTCAACATTTTATCATTTTATTTGTCAAACAAAAGTGGAAAATATATGAATTTGCTAAGAGAGCTTTATAGGAGCATAGAAAATTCTTTTATAGTATGTCAGATTATGTCTGTGTAACTCATAATTACATACTGTGAAAAGTATTCTAAATTCTATAGATGCTTGGGAGAAAGTATACACAGAATTTTGAGGTAAAAATGTAAGTTTTTTGTGCTAAGAATTGCTCTGGGTAAGATTCATGTCCCCAACTAAGTTTATAGGAGATAATAAGCTGGAATAATGTATTGCAGTTCTCATGTTACATTTGTTTTAAACATTAATCTTCACCAGAAACATCAGTGTTACCATTTAAGCTACATGATTATTTTAAGGGTTATTGTGCATGAGATGTCATAAACTTTGATTTATTATTGCATTGGAAGTTGCAGTAAATTACATAAATATTAAATTAGGAGTTCATTTAGAAGGTATTTTTGATGATCTTTTAAAAGAAAACTTAACATATATTGCAAATGTTTAAGATTATTTTGTGTTTACACTTAATACAAGTATATGTTTTGTAACAGTTGGAGTGTATCCCTCCAAATTGATAATACAATTTAGAACCAGTTTTGTGTAATGGTTAAATTGCTGAAATAGAAACTGGGAGACGTTGAGTTCTAGTCCTCTTAAAGCTGGCTAGGTTATTTTGGGCCAGCTCTTTGAGATGTGCTATAATTCTAATAATATTTTGATCAGAGCTGTATATCTATACATGTTTACTCAGAAAACATATTTATCTTTTGTCAAGATGTATGCAGATACTGAGGTGTACACCTAGAGAAGGAAGGAACGAAAAAAAATGGTTAATCCAATGGGAATATTAATATTTGTTTTAAGTGCAAAGATTTCGAAACTTGGCAACTTTAAGACTTGTGGTCTTCAACTCCCAGAATTCCTCAGCCAGTATGCTAGCTGAGGAATTCTGGAAGTTGAAGTCCACAGGTCTTAAAAGTTGTGATGTTTGAACAGGGTGGATTTGATTTAAATCAAGTTGATTTAAATTATGATTTAAATCATGACTTAAATCACTAGTAAAAAGGCTAGATTTAAATCAACTCGATTTAAATCATAATTTTTAAAGAGCAACTGTCATCTCTGTCCTGCAGCGGCTCCTCTGACCCGCTGTTGACTCACCGACAATCCCATTCACTTTAATGGTATGGCTGGTGATGCCTCAGTGACACAACAAGGTGAGGGTCGTGGTGGGCAGCAGGTGAGTGGATGCCCACTAATAGGCGCTGCCATGATGGATCTGAAATGACAGGTGCTCTTTAAATGTAAGGACTTACTCTTGTTGGTAGTTAGAATCTTTAATATTATTATTTGCAAACAAAATGAAGGTTTCCTATTTAGAATAATAAGCTGTCAGGTTAGTAAAACAGCGATATCAGAACCAATTTTAGGTTAATAGACTAATCATACATAGTTGAAGAACTACTCGAATTCTTTTATTTAATTAAAACACTTAGAGCCTGGTACAGATGCATTTCTCTTCAAAAAAAATCATACAGTTTGTAGTGTATATAGATTTGGAAACCAATTGGATAAAGGAACATTTCTGAACTTTGTTTTATGATTTATCTCATGGTTACTGTGAAATTGTGTGAATGCATCAATGCAGTGCATGTTATCTCAACTTACAGAGCCTGGAATCATTGAATGAGTTTACCAAAAATGTAAATATTGCAGAATATACAACCTCATGCTACATAACTAAGCTCAACTAAATTATTAATGTATCTTAAATAGAAAACTATATTTAGCTTTTTACTCCAAAAATATTTTATTAAAGTAAATTTGATAAAAATAAAGAAAATCCGATTTTTTTTATTATTTTTTTAAAAATCAACAATTATTATCCACCCTGTGTTTGAAGACCCCTGGTTTAGTGGCTTGGATTCATGGTAATTTTACTAAGAATACAAGGAATCCTTCCATGTGTTGAAAACTCGTGATGCTTTTACTGGTGGATCAAGCATACTTTATTGGTATTTCACCCTACCCTATTTCTCAATCTTCTGCTCTCTTACCAAAAGTCTGAAATGGATTGAATAAAATTTTTGCACTAGTGGTAGTGCGAAGGAAATTCACTCCAACCCATAATTTATGGAGTATCACAAGGTTGTCTTCTCCCAATATAGGATGTGCCTCAGGATGACTTATTACAACAGTTTGTTCAGTATTATTTCAGTCTTAAAAACATTTATATCTTTCAGCCAGAAATATTCAGAAAAGGCTCATACAATAATAGAAATGGTATTTGCTGTCTTTTAGAGCACAACCAAATAGACAGGGCAATAAAACTTCAAGGGCAGTTCTTAATGTTTCATGATTTTTATTATGGCTAGCTATAGTACAAGTGATGAACTTGCTGGTCTTTATCACAGGATTTTGGCCTTTGTGGCAGTGTCCCACTCAGTGGGTGAGAGCAGCAGCAAGCAGACACTGTTAACTTCTAGGATTCTTTTATTACAGTTTTTTTTAAAAATCATATGATTGTTTCTGCACTTATATTTTTATGACTTTTTCAAAGGTCAGTGATGTTTTAGAAGGAAGGAAGGAAGAAACGAATGAATGATGACATCCTAGGCTGATCCTTATACGAGACTGAATTTTTGTTGGTGCATGTTAAAAAAATAATCTCCATGCAAAGGGAGGGAAGCTGTAGTTGATAAGTTTATTCTTTTTAAGATGTTTGGAATGTTTTCAGTATTATTCTGTATTTTGCATTTGGGAGTAATTGAAAGGAAATTGGGGGTAGAAGAGATTTTTATTGTATAAGGGGAGTTTTAAAAAGGGAGTGCTTAAACACAGTACAATATATATTTTAATGTTCTTGACTGTACATTCGATAATGTAATAACACTTTGTTTGCCTTTCAGAAGGATTCGATGAACTGGATAGTTACATGTATCAAACAGTGGGCCATCATGCTATAGAATTATATGCTGAAGCAATGGGCTTGCCTCTCTACCGTCACACGATTAAGGGTACCAGCGTTAACACAGGCAGCATCTACACAAAATGTGAGGGTGATGAGGTGGAAGATCTTTATCAGCTTCTGAAACTTGTAAAGGTATTTTGTATGGCAATTTCTTCTTTTAAATATAAGGATTAAAGCTGTAGACACCAAGCCTATAGTCGCCTATTCTCTTATACTTTTGCTATATATCCGGTTTCCCAAAGAGAATAAACCTGGCTGAAGTGGTCTTAATTTATAGCTTGTTCTGCTCTTTATTGTTGCTTCCTGCTTAAGGTTAAACATCCTATTATTGCTGTAAAAATTATTTATTTATGCCAAGAAATACATCACAATGGTATGGTGATCCAATATCTTCCACATTTTACACTGCTGATATATTCTTTTTTTTTGTGCCTAACTCAAGAAGCATTAAATACTTTACAGTATTGCACTCAAAGTGAACTATAGTAATTCAAGACTTTTCTAAGAATTCGGAGAAGAACAATAGTCCCCCACACTTAATTAGAAAGAATGTTTCTACATATATGTATATGTTAGACTCTTCTATTTGCCTCTTTTTGGATTGATTTGGTCATGCTCCATTTAGGCATCCAAGCTCTCCTATATATAATGAATTGTTGGACTGATGCAATTGACTGGATATTTTTGTACTAATTCCATAGACCTTTAACATGAAAATACTGATTAAAAATGTAACCAAATGTGTAATATTATGTCTCTTAACCATTTTAAATAAGTGGGTCATAATTATTTGATTTACGATATTCAAACTAGGAAGCTTGATCACTGTAGTCTCTATAAAACAGATTGTTTTATATATATACTGCTTAGATTTTAAGGTTCTGTATTTGTGGCTGATTTCTCCTAGAAATATCCCTCCTGAAATAGATGAGACAATCGTGACTATTGGTCTGAAAGTTGGTGGATGAATTTCAAATAGGATGCATATTGTTTTTGTTCTAATAGAGAAATTATACTTAGAAGATTTTCAACAATAACTAGGAATATAATAATTCTTATGCTATTTCTAAATTTGGATTTCCTTTTTAGAACAATGGTGTGTTTAACATGCACCCAACTACAGAGAGATCAGTTATGGATCTCAGCAGAATATTTTTAGCATGCACACTGATTGAAGGAAATGGACCATTGCTTTGAACAAAAATGTGGGTGGAAAAATGAGGCCACCCGAAGGTTGTTCACTCCAAATTTAAACATTTCTGACTTGGATACCTGTGGCTATAGCCTATGCTCATGGATTATTATTATTTTCCTTCTGGATTGGTGTTTAGCTCTATCACCACAAGTAATTACTGTAGGGGAACGACTGAGATAATGTGTTGGAAGTTGTAAGCCTCCAGCGAATGCAATGTAGGCTTTTAACCTCTGCTGTAATAAACAGACTGGAATAGCAGCAGCTAAATATTACACGTAAAACAAAAGGCTTTATGCTACGGGTGGTATCCTATATTTGCAGTGGAAGTAAACTCATAGATGAAGCAAACTTGGGCATCTTTATTTTTTCTCCCATTCTGAATCTCTTTCTTGGCTGCTTGTTAAATTAAATGTATAATATCTCACTTGCAAAAATAACAACAACACAATGCATAATGACAATAGATATACTGATCCTAGTGGTATTGGTTCCATAGAGGTTCTGAAAAAGAGATTTCGGTCAAGGACAAGTTTGCTTTGCTCTAAAGCAATGGCTTCAAGATTGTTCCAGCTTTACCTTTGAAATTACCAGAGGATCCTTAATAAGCATATAAGTTATGGAAAAGAAGTTAATAAACTTTTATGTAACATGTAAAATGTGTGCATATTCTTATCAAGTCACACAGAGGAACAGTGAAACATTTGTGTAAGACAGTTTGTGTGCAAAAGAGATAAAAAAAACAATTGCTTTTTAATGAAAGGAAGAAGTAGGTTTAGAAATAATTACCTGAGTGTGAAAGCTTTGGAAACTCTAGCTAGAAGGATGAAGATCTCAGTCCTGTTTGAAAACAATGTATTTTAAGTTTCATGATGGATAATAGCTCAAACTATTCTATTCCCAAAGGCATGAGGAATAGTATGAGGTAGGACATCAGCTCACTTATTTTTAAGGGTGTGACAGAATCCCAAAATTAAATAAATAAATTACACTCCCCCCCCCCAAAGTCCTGAAATCTTGCAGGATGTCCATGCTTGTTCAGTGAAAACCTGCATTATTTTAGCTTCTAAGAAATATTTTATTTGAAATTGACCCCAGTGCCATTATATAGCGTCAGCCCTCTCTTGAAAAGTTTTCTTCTTGACTTAAAACTGAATGCAGTGATTGTTTGTTTATTGTTTAAGGGGTAGGGTTTGAAAATTTGCAGTACCATTAAATTTGACTCTAATACACAATGTAGTTCTTAGAGAATTGTTCTAACTTTTTCCATGCCAGAAGATTATTTTAGGCTGAGGTATGAGGGGGAGGAAAGGAAATGTATTATTGATCAATTAAATTAAATGATTAATAGTAGGACAAACTTTCTTTTCATTTTCTTGCAGACAGCAAGGACTGAATACATTGCTATTATCTGGAGAATAACAGTCAGTTATGACATAAATTAATGCTAATGTTAAATCTTGACAACTTCTGCTTTGGAAGTTTGTGCATGATATTTATAACTATAGTTGAAAGAGATGTTATCAAGTTGTCTTGGACTAAATAAGTGATGTGTTTTTTTTCTAAGTAGATATTAATTTCACTGGAAGAAAATTCAAAGATATAAATATATGGAATCAATTGCATTTATGAAAGACATTCAATAACCATGCTTTTACAGCTGAAGTCATTTAAAGCACTTCTAAAATTGCACTTGAAACCTTGCGTACATCAATACATTATTGGGTACTTTATAAGAATAAGAGTTTGGGATTTGGAAAGAAAACGGGGAAGGGAGGGAGAAAGGAAGGAAGGAAAAGAAAGGAAAGGAAAGGAAGGAAGAGAAAGAAAGGAAGGAAGGAAGGAAGGAAGGAAGAGAAAGAGGAAGAAAGAGAAAGAAAGAAAGAAAGAGAGAGAGAGAAAGAAAGAAAGAAAGAAAGAAAGAAAGAAAGAAAGAAAGAAAGAAAGAAAGAAAGAAAGAAAGAAAGAAAGGCTTTCATTTTCCCTGTGGGCAAGTACTTGCACTTTAGAATTGGTGATTTAGATGTGAGTACAGTATATTCAAATAGCCTCCTAGACTGTTCTCTTTTTCTGAGAAATAGTCATCAAGCATTTGGTGAAAAACCTTTAATGAACATACTGTAAGCTAGCTGACAAAATTGCAGGGTTCACACATTGTGTACTGTAAAGCAATGTTTTTAATCCCAGTTCGCTAAATAAACCACAGTTGGCTGAGTTTACACATAGTAACCATATTATCATATACAATGATGTACAAACATTTTCATTAAGGCTTTTCCTTCAAATGTTTAGTCATACAGGTATCTTCCATGTGTTTTCCCATGTTGGAATGAGGTATCAGTATCTTTACTAATAGTAATACAACATTAAGCTGCTAACATAGGTGACTTCAGATGTTTAATTTTAAAAAGATATGGTAATGCTTTAAAATTACAGTCTTTGATAATTTTTATAAAAATATCTCAGAGCATTTTTTTGGGCTTGCTAACAAGGTAGAAAGTGCTAAATTTGCTCCTTTTTTCTGTGGTACATTGATCAGAGTTAGTTTTGGCTCTGCTGATCGGGAATTATGAGCACTGACGTTATATCCATCTGGAAGATACCAACAAACTGCAGAAATCGGGCAGAAGCAGTAATTTTTTGTATTCATATCTGGGAAATAATTATTGCAGTGTGTCATAAATTTGCAGTTGTTGTAACTCAAAATGTAATTCTCTTGAGTTGATTTGAAGGAGTTGAAACAAAATTGTTTGTGTCTTTGGATTCTTATAAAATTCCAAGAGTTCTTTTGACTTATACTATGTTCTGTATTTAATAATAATATATGAAAAGTTACTAAAAGAAGTCTGGCTATAATTCAGAGTAAAGCATCTTGCCATTTGGCATTTTTAAAAAAATGGTAAAACAATTTTGCAAAGTTTGAAACATTAATTTATTTAAATAAAGCTTAATCGGTGTTTACTAAAAGTTCCAAAGTGGAGTAAAACTATTCTAGACACAATAAAAATAATAAAAGCCAAAAACAGCATCTATAAAGTCAGTAAATTTTCTAGAGCCATAAAATACTAAACTCTGTTGTAAAACATACTGAAAAAAAATGAATTTTTACCTGGTGCTGAAGAATACAATAAAGGTGGTAGTGGATAAAACCTTTTGGGAAAGGTTTCTAGATTTGAATAATTTGACTGCAAAAACTCCTTCCTACTCTCCCATCCATTCATCCATCCATCCATATTTAAGAACATAGCTAGTGTGATATAATAGTTAAGATGTTACACACTAGGAACAGGAATTATTTTGGCACAGAAGGCTGGACCAGTAGTACCCTCTTAGCCCTAATCAGTATTAGGTTCTGTGAAAATCTAGATGAAAAACTAAATTTGTCATTTCATCTTAGTAACTTTATTGCCTGAACTGAAGTTCAGTGCAAAACAAAGTGATCCTGCAACCAAGTGGCAAAACTCTAGAAATAAGAAATATTCAAAACCATATTTTTTCTGGGTTAAATAGCACTAAGATAGTGTGCTGAACCAGTGTACATCCTCACAGTATGCATACATTATAGATACTAAGCACACAATTAGGAAAAAAAATACACACTTGAGTTTTAGTACATTTTAATCTTCCTTCAATTTTTCCCAAAACATAACATGTCCATTACTGTGATCATTAATAAGAACTGGCTTGTTATAATAAAATATAACATAATAACTTAATTATGCATTCAAAAATACAATACATGTGTTATGATTGTTAGGGTTGTTTTAATAGCTAAGTCATTTACTTCATTCTATTAGATTAAATAATGCTAAAAAGTATAGTCGGTACTATTTGGCATACACATCTAAGATAATAGTCTGGCACAGTGCTCTTAATGGATAAACTGTTAATCTGATCTCCTGATTTGTTTTAGATATAATGGTTAAGGCAGTTTGGTATT